ATACCTGGCAGAGTTCAGGGCTTACTCCTGGCTCTGTACTCAGGCATCACTCCTGGCTGGGCTAGGCGGACCATATGGGGTGCTGAGGATCGAACCTGGGTTGACCATGTGCGAGGCAAATACCTTACCCACTGAGCTATCTCGGCCCCTGAAATTTGTATTCTTACGTGATCTGGTTTTGCTATTGCATTCAATGCTGTTGACGACTCCCCTCTACTCCTGCGGTGGTTGGGCCACACCTGGAAGTGCTGGGCGTTCCTCCCAGCTCTATACTCAGGGACCAGCAGTGTCAGTGGTCAAGCCCAGGCCTCCAGCCCCCTTCTTGAGGAGCTTTCTTATGTCTGCTTCATTTGGCAGGGGTGGGGGTGTTTTGGGACCACACCTGGTGGTGCTCAGTGCTTACCTCTAGCTCTGGACTCAGAGATCACACCTGGCAGTGTTGAGCGGACCATAGATAGTGCTGGGGATCAAGCTGGACAAGCACCTTAAACCCTGTACTGTCTCTCTGACTAAATATACTACTCTCTTGTATTGTCTTTTTTACCTAACGATGTGACTGTTCCTTTTCTCCTTCCTGGTCTCCTGGGTTTATTTCTCTTACTCTCTCTGTTTCTTTTTATTTTTTTTTCTTTTTGGGTCCCTCCGCCCCTCTCGGAGAGCCCGGCAAGCTACCGAGAGTATTCGATATGCCAGACACAGTAACAACAAAGTCTCCAATGGAGACGTTACTGGGCCCGCTCGAGCAAATCGACGATCAACGGGAGGGCCTTTACCTTTACCTTACCTTTACTTTTTGGGTCACACCCATCGATGCAAAGGGGTTACTCCTGGCTCTGCACTCAGGAATTACTCCTGGCGGTGCTCAGGGGACCCTATGGGATGCTGGGAATCGAACCCCCTTTGGCCGCGTGCAAGGCAAACGCCCTACCCGCTGTGCTATCGCTCCAGCCCCTGTTTCTTTTTGAAGGATGGTGGTAGGAGGTAACTCTCCCTCCCAAGCTGTGCTCATGGGGTATAGGGGCCACTCCCAGCAATACTCGTCCACCTGAATAAGCCACTGCTTGTGTCTGAGGACATGGAATTGCATAAGCCCTGTGGTGCCAGGGCCCACCAGGGCCACCCTGGCATTGCTCATCCTCTGGGAACACCTGGCCGTGCTCTAAGCAAGAGCCACGAGGTGCTGGGGTTCCAACTTGCGTGCAGACAGAGGCACATACAGAGCACAGTCCCCTAACCACTGAGCTCTCTTCCTGGCCCTCTCCCTGCTTCCTAAACCTGAGCTCTTGGGCCATAGCCACCTCTCCTTGTATCTGTTGTGATCTCTCCTCCCCTTTGGCTTTGAGCTGTGACTCCTTTGTCTCTCTGGCCCAGACACTGCTGCTTCCAGGTCCTGGTGTCCAGCTACTAACAGCCTCCTCGCCCTCTAAAGGTGTCCCGGCCACCTCCGAACTCATGACCTCCCTTCCCTCATTGTGCCTCTGCCACATGCTAAAAATACGACTTCCTGGGGCAGGACCGATACAGGAGGGAAGGCACTTGCCTTGCATGTGACTGTTGCGGCAGTGGTGACTCTGGTTCACATCCCCAGCCCTGCGTAGGGTCACCCAAACACTGCCAGGGGTCACTCCTGCACAGAGAGTAGTAGCCCCAGCCCTGGACTTCACTGGATTCTTTAGAGACTAACCAACCCAGGATAGGCTTAGAACCCTGCCTCCCATGAACAAGAAAGATGCTCTCAGATGGCACACGTTATAGGTCTTTTCTCTGACCTCCTGCTTCATTACCCCACAGTTTTTCCAAGGAAGCCTCAGTTGGCCTGTCTTCAAGCACTATTTCCCGAGGCACTAGACGCAGGTTAGCTGCGGAAATCCCTGGGTCAGAGAGGAGGATGCTGCATTAGCAAGGAGCACGGGGAACCCTGAACTGGGATTCCCGACTGAAACAAACTGATACAGAAGTTTTAGGTGATGGACCTGAGTGATAGGACAGCAGGTAGGCGCTTGCCTTGCGTCCAGCCAACCTGAGTTTGACCTCCAGCATTCCATATGGTCTCCCTAAGCACCATGAGGAGTAATTCCTCAGTGCAGAGCCAGGAGTAATCCCGGAGTACCACCAAGTGTGACCCCCTCCAAATACAAGAACCATTTGGGGTGTTTCCCAAAGCCAGAAAAAATGCCTTGTAAAGTGGCCTGTAGTTTTCTGTCTTGCAACTTGATACTGTTGGAGAAAACATCCCTTAGTTCTGTGAAGGCTGCTCAACTAGGCGGTGAGCTTCGGTATTTGAGACACCGGGGCTGGAGAGAGTACAGCGGGTGGGGTGCTTGTCCTCTGCACGGTCGACTCAGGTTGGATCCAACGCCCCTTCTGTGTCCCCAAGCACTGCCAGGAGTAATTCCTGAGTGCAGAGCCAGGATTTATCCCTGAGCATTACCAAGTGTGACCCCAAAACAAAAGAAAAAAAATAAGGCACTGGGGCCCCCGGAGCTGAGTGCTCTGCCTGGTGTGGTCATGTGCCGGGTTCTCTGCTTAGTGGTAGACAGAGAAGCTGCAGCTAATTTCCTTTGGGTTAAATAGTTTTCTTAAATTATTTTTTAAATAGAGCCCTAATTGATAGGGCACTTGCCTTGTACTCTGAGGACCCCGGTTTGATCACTATATGGTCCCCTGAGGTGCAAACCTTGAGCACAGAGCCAGGAGTAAGGCCTGAGCACTGCAGGTGTGGCCTCAAATCCTCTCCCCTCCTCCCCATCTCCACAAAAGAGGGATTTGGGAGACTGGAGAAGGAACCAACCGGCTGGAGCACGTGCTTCGGATGCAGTAGTCCTGGGTTTGATCTCTGACACCACAGGATCCCGAGCACTGCCAGGGAGGGACCCCTAAGCACCCTGCTGGGACATGCCCTTGAGCACCACCAGGTATGACCCAGAAACAAAAAGAGAGAGAGAGAGAGAGATGTGGGTTGCTCTGAGATGTGAATGAGAGGCCAGCTGCAATAGGAAAAGCTATTTCATTGCGTGAGATGTTGGGTACAGTCTCTCTAGAGCCCAGAGGCAGACTTGAGTGGCCAGAGCTGACCGCCTTTGGGCAGTGATGAGAATCAGGACTGTGGGGCTGGGCTCCAGCCTGGCCACTTGCTGATGAACACGGTGGGGACACAGCAGCCAGGAAACCCGCCCTTTAAGAGGCGGAGAGCAAAGCTGTCCCCCGAGGAGGAGCAGGATTGGAAGGCTTGGAGGTGAGTCCAGGCACTAGGTCTAGGCCCTATCTGCAAAACCCGGGAACTCAAGGGCCGCTGGCCGCTGCCGCTACCACAGTTTAGGCCTTGGTGAGCTGACCGCAAGCTGTGGCATTGGGTGTGGGGTGTTATTGTGAGTCAGTGAAGGGGTCAAGGAGGTTCTGGAGGGCAACAGAGCTCCAAGAGTTTGGGCATGCTCACAACCTCTTATCTCACCATGACACGGCAGCAGACATGTCTGCTGTGCTCTGGTGGGGGTGAAGGACCCCCCATGCCTGAATAGACAGGCACCGGGGCCCTATTGCAAGCAAGGGTTGGGGGGGTTCCAGAACAGTGTCAAAAGTCTGAGGAATCCCACCCTCAAACTGCCTTGCTTTCAGGGTGCTCTCTAGCCGCAGGTTGCAAGGCTTACAGCAGCCCAGCCCCCACCCCCACCCCCAGCCCGGACCTCCCCCTCTCCCACAGCCCCTGTCAGGGTGCTCGGAATCAGCATCCTTCCCAAACACATGTCCCCGTTGATTTCCACGTGAAGCCACGCTGAACACATTCCAAGTCCCGGGAACGAGCCACCCCAGGACCCATCCTGAGTCAAGGGGGATGACCCGGGAATGGTGTGGACAGTGGGGTGGCCCCAACCCCCGCTTCCTGCCGGATGCGGGTGACCACCTCTCCCATTCTTGTTATTTTTCACACTTCTGCCAAGTCGGAAGGAAAGCTCTGCCTCATCGTTGGCTGTCTCTCCTGGCTTGCACTCTCGGCAGGGGTCATAGCCCTGTCCCTCCTGACTTCCTGGGGGCTGCCCGAGTGACAGAGAGGAGGTGCTTAATCAATACATTATCGAACCCATCCACAAACCTTGTTTATCTCCAGGTCATTTCCTGCCATCGGATCCAGGGGTGCTCTGGGCTTTAGCACCCCCAGACCAGCCTCGTGTCCTCTTCCCAGCTCATGCCTCTCAGGGCCTGTAGCGTGAGGGCTACACCCCGCAATACGCGGGGGGTGGTTAGTCCTGGATCTGCACTCAGGAGTCACCCCTGGCAGTGCTCGGGAGAACAAATGGGATGTCAGGGATAGAACCCAGGTCGGTCACGTGTAAAGCAAGCACCCTTCCCGCTGTACTATCTCTCCAGCCCCCAGCTGGACCCTTTACCTGGGAGCTTTGGCCTGGGGACAGGACACTGATAAAGGATACTCGGGGATGCTCAGGGGTTCTTCCAGCTTTACCCACTAAGCAAGATCCCCAAGATGGGTCTCCTGCACCGCACTGCTGGGGTCTGTGCATGGGCGTGTCTTCACTTGCCCTAGTCCCAAGGTGCTACGTTGGTCACTGCACTCTGCTGGGTGGGGTTCTCGGCCCCCTTGTCCCAGAGCGACTGGGTCAGGTGGGCCCTGAACAGCCCGGTGGGCCTGACACCGGGAGCGTGAGGGGGAGGCCTGGCCCCCCATCCTGCTTCTATCCCTCCAGCCCCCACGGCCGGCCCAGGAAAGGAGCTGACACGAGCAGGCAGAAGTAAATAAATAAGTTAGAAATAATAAATAGGGGTCCAGCTCCCGGAAGCGGGTCCAAGGCCCACTCCAGCTCAGCCACTGCGTCCGGCGTCACCTCCCACCCCGCGTCTGTCCCGCCGGCCCTGGGCGGAGGGCGCGTGCCAGAGGCGCTGTCCTGAGTCCTGGGTCCTGGGTCCTGGGTCCTGGGTCGGCGCGTGGGCGCCGCGGGCGTGCCCGGGGTGCGCGGGGCGCGGGCCAGCCGTCCCCTGGGCCAGCCTCAGCCCAGACAGTCGCAGGCGGTGGCCGAGAGGCGCTCCACGGTCCTCCAGGTGCTGTTCACGTCCATGAAGGAGACGGCCTCGTAGCGCGTGGGGCGGCAGCAGGGCTGGCTGACCGGCCGCGAGCCGGGCGGCGGCCGCAGCGCCCCGGCGGCCAGCAGGCGCGCCAGGCTCAGGTCGTGCTGGGCGCGGGCGCGGCGGCACGAGCCGCTGCAGAAGCGGAACCGCACCAGCTCGTCCGAGCGGTGGCCCAGGCCCAGCGCGCGCACCGGCACCAGCTGCGAGCGCAGGCGGCAGCCCCGCGCCGCCGACCGCGCCCGGCCGCCCCGGCCCGCGCGGCCCGCCCGGCCCCCGGCCCGCGCCGTGCGGGCTCCCCGCGGGGGCGCGGGCGCGGGCGCGGGCGCGGGCGGCGGGGGCGCGGGCCGGGGCGGCGGGGGCGGCGGCCGCCGGGCTCTTCCGCCGCACACGCGGCCGCCGCGGGCCCCTGCGGAGGAGAGCGAGTCACCGGGGGATGACCACCCGCGCCCGGCCCCCCGCGCGCGCGCCCCCGCGCCCGGCCCCCCCGCGCCCGCGCACCTACCGGCCGCGGGGCTGGCGGGGGACGTCAGCGCGGGCACCGGGCCCTGGCGGGGGATGGCGCTGCGGGGCGCGGGGCGCAGGGACGCCTCGGCGACGCTGCTCAGCAGGGCCAGCGCGGCCAGGGTGGGCCACAGGGCCGACTGCGCAGAGACAAGGCGGGGCGCGTCCAGGCGGGCTCTGGAGAGGAGGGGCCCCTGGCGGGGCGCGGGGGGCTCGGGAAGGAGGGGTCCACCCGGGTTCTGGGTTCACCCGGAGGGGGGCACCTTCTCCTGGTGCCCGGTCCCCCGGGCCGGACCCCGAGACCTCCCTCCTGGGCGGGGCACCTTCGCAGAACCACTCACCTGCCTTCGACGCCGTGGCCAGCGGGGTAGGGCACCAGGCCCCGCGCGTCCGGGTTCCATCTCTGTCAAGAGCAGGAGACCCCATCAGCCAGGGTCCAGCCGTTCCCCCACCCTCCTGGTCAGGCAGCTGGGACACAGAGTTCTCTTCTGGGTGGTCATCCTTCCACTCCTCCAGGTGAGCGGCCTGGAGAGCTGGACGCGGCCCCGGAAGGGGTGGGGTAGCTGCCTGGAGACGCTGACCATGTGGGGGTCCAGAGTTCCAGTCCCCACAGTTCTTTCCAGAGGAGCAAGCCAGGTGCAGGGCAGCCCCGCCACTGCCTCGGTCTCGGTCCAGGACCTTCCTGACCTGGGCTTCGGGGCTGCTGCTGGCAGGATGAGCCCGGAGAGGGCCAGCCTTGGTCCTTCTAAGAGTCTCTCTCTGCCCCTCAGGCGCGGTGGCCTGGAGAGGCCGGACGCTTGCTGGTTGTCTGGGCAGCGAGGCCCCTCCCCAGCACTGCTGCACCTTGAGCCTCGGTGGACTCTGCCTGGACTCACCCCAGCATCACCCTAGTTTTATCTCCTGACCGCAGATACCTCTGATGGTGGGTTCTGGGCTATGGCTTCCTCTGGCCACCAGGGGGCAGCAGCAGCCCAGCCTGCAGACTAAAGAGGGGTGGGCTTCCGCCTACCCTCAGCCAGTCTGGCCACCGCCGCTCCCAGGAGGGCCAGCCAGGCCTCCCTACCAGCCCTGATCTCAGACCAGAGCCACCCCGGGGATCCAGGTTCCCTTCCCCGCGCACACATGCACCCCAACCCCCGCCCCCCCCTGCTTCCTGTGGCTCTGGCAGGTTGGCTCCGCTTGGCTCCAAGGAGCTGGGTTCCCTGTTGAACTGTCCTTCCCTGGTCCAGCAGTCTTTGTGATCCGCACCCTGCCAAGCACCCCGCGATCCTCACACGAGCCCTCGGGAGCTCTCCAGCCCTTGGGTCCCAGCTGTCACCTGGATCCCTGCACCCTAGCACACGGGAAACCTGTCTGCCGCCACCCTCCACCGGGAGCTTGGCCAGTTCTCCCCTGCGCACGCAGCTGGCCCCGGGGAGCTGGCGAGTGCCCTCCCAGGCTGAGGGAAAGCTGGACCAGGCAGCACGAGGCCCCTGCACTAGGGGGAGCCCGGGAGCAGCTCCCTTGAGGGCAGCTGGGGGCCCCTTCTCCTGCCTGGACATCTGGGGCCACTTGTTCCTCCAAGCCTTGCTTCCCCCGCTGCCCACAGCTGGCTACTCACCACGGAGGCTCTGGGCTCTGCTCTGCGGGCCTCTGCTGGGGTCAGCGCTGGCTGTGGCCCTGCAGCCTGGGAGGCCCGTGCCCGGGCCGGGGCACCTGGCTGTACCTCTTTAGCCAACAGCGTGGTCTTGGCAGCCAGTCTGGGCCCTGGAGCAGCAGCGGGGGGCTGGCGTTACCGCGGGCTGGCAGGGCCCGCGCCGTCCGATACGCGACAAGAGGGACTGAGAGTTGGGAGGGGCGGAGAGCCGTGTAGAGGGCCCAGGCGAGGGGGAGGTGATGGAGGGGAGGGGGTCATCCCGCCGCTCCCCGGCCGAAGGGAGGGGGCCGGCTTACCACGGGTGCAGCGTGCTGGGTCCTGGGCGCAGCGAGGGTGGGGGCCCGGGGGACCTGCTGCTGGCGGGGCCCGTGGGCTGTGTCTGGGGGCCGAGCCCAGCTCCATCCCTCCGCAGCCTCATGCCCGCCGCGCTGCCGTCCGGTGTCAAATTCCAGCCCCGGCGTCACCCGATCCTGGGGTGGGGTGGGGCCCAGAGCGCCCCCGCCCCGCCCCACCTTCCAGGCTCACCTGGCTGCAGTGCCCGCCAGGATCCAGTGCCCCCCCTGGCCCTGCCGGGTCCCCCGAGGGAGGGTGGGGAGGAGATGCTGGGCTGGGACCCCCGGGCGCAGAGTGGAGACCCGGACGGGCGGGCGGTGGAGAGGCGAGGAGTCTGGGCGTTGAGTCTGTAGACGCTCCAAGTAGGGAGTTGGGAGGCTGGGCCGAGGGCGGGAGAGGGGGAGTGAGGGCGGGCAGGGAGGGGACAGTCCCTGTCTGGGGCTGCCGGCCTGTGGGGTTCATCTCTGAGGTCTCCGATCCTTTCTTCTCTCATCAGACTCAAGCGACTTGGGGCCCGAAGGCCTGCTCCAGGCGTCTGAAGGCTGGACCCACTCTCGGGGCGCCCTGCTCCCCTCTGGGCTAGCCCATGGCCCTGCCCACCCCATGGGGAAGGTGAGGGGAGGTGGACATTGGTTGGAGTTGGCAGGGGTGGGAAGGGGGGGCGGTGAGCATTGTGGATGGAGGGAAGAGCAGGGTCCCCCGGGCTCCCTGGGAGAGTCTGGTGCACCCCCTGTGACTCTGGGGACCACCGCAGAACTCGAGTATTTCAGCCAGGAGCCTGGCTGCTGGGGAGGGGAGTTGGGAGGTCAGAGGGGCTGCGGGTGCTCTTGGGGGGGGGCTTCCACACCCTTCTGAAAGCTCAGCTGGGGCCTGAGGATGTGGCTTAAGAATGGACAGAGGGACAGGCCTGCCCCCCCTGTGGCCACGGAGGGGGGTGAGTGCCGGGGGAGGCGGCGAGAATGTTCAGGACGCAGCTGACTCTGTAGCCTGTGGCGCCGTGGCGTGAGCTGGGCCGGAGACGGCAGCTGGGGAACTGTGACCTAAACTGGCAGTGGGGAGCCGTGGGTGGGGATGAGCGTGCCCAGCGGACGGACGAACGTGTGTGGACCAGCTAATCCCGAGCTATGCCTCAGAGCCACCTGTGGACCTTTGAAAGCTACCCACATCCGGGCCCCACCCCAGCCCTGAATCACAGTCCAGGGGCGGCATGTGCACTGCCCGGAATCGGAATCGGCACATGTGGCCCTGGGGTGCTGCCAGCGCCGAGCGGCGGCGCCGTGGGACGGCGTGCCTGGGCTGTGAAGGAAACTGCTTCACTGCCTCCCGCCCCCGCCAGCCAGGGAGGCCACCTGCACCCTGGGGCGCGTGGCCACTGCCGCCGTACAACTGCAGGGGGCAACGCGGTGCTCAGGGACCGTGCTGCAGAGCTGCACACCACTGCGGGCTTGGGGGTGGGCTTGGCCCTCTGGCTCACGAGGAGGCACCGCACCAGGGTTCAGGGCCGGCGGGACTGCTGACTGGGGTGGCAGCGGCGCCTCCCTGCCCCCCTCTGGGTAGGTGACGAGGCCGCAAGTCCAGGGTGGTGGGAAGCTTTGAGTCCCACCCTCTGGCTCTGACATTTTGGTGCCCGAGATGGAACTTCATTCATGAGAAGCAAAGAGCGACCGGGAAGCTCTGGGAGTCGCTAAGTCACTATCCAGCTCTGACAGTTGACAAGAAAGGGGCCCAGGGCCTGTTGTGGGGACAGTACTTGGGTTCAGCATAGCTGCTTCGCGGCAACCGCCCCCCCCCCCGCCCCCGCCTCTGCCGCCGCCCCCCTCCCCCGATCCTCCCCATCCCCCAGAATCTTCTGGAAACCTGGAGCAGGCACGGAGGCAGGGTCAGGGAAGAGCTTTATTGCTTCCATGATGGCTGTGAGGCTCGCTGCCACAGCCGGGGAAGATCTTTGGGCCTCATTCCCTTCCGGTCCAGGCGAAACGAAAGGCAGAGCCCAGAGCCCCAGCACGCTCGCCGCTGAGACCCGCTGAGACCCAGCGGAGTGTCTGGGCCAGGGGCCGCCAGGCGAGCTCCCTGCGGGTCCCCAGCCCTCGGGCCGGGGCTGTCTCATTGGCGTCAAGGATGGCTCCAGAGCTTCCCAGTGGCACGGCCGGGGGCAGAGAGGAAGGGCACCTCGTCTTCTTACCGCCAAAGGCCAAAGTGTTCACAAGGGGTAGGGGGCTGGCAGCGCCGAGGCCCCCCTCCTGGGGAGGTCGGTCATGGCACCACTGCCCATGGGCCCTCTGGTGGCCCGCCTCCTGCAAGGCAAGTGGCCCGAAGAAAATCTCCAACCTGATTTAAAAATAAATTATCCCTCCCCCCCACGCCCCACTTCCGAGTTCACAAAATGGTAATACACGAAACACTGATTGGAGAAATGATTCCAGCAGTCGCCTCGCTGCCCGCTGTCCCACCTCCGGCGTGGCACGCTGGGCTGCCGGGCACAGCTGGGCTGCCAGGCTCAGCCTCGCGACCCTCTGGGTCCCCCTGGCTGTCCTCCTCTGGGTCCGAAGACGCCTGCGCCTCTCAGGCCTGGCCAGGCCGAGGCCGAGGCCGTGGCCGTGGCGGTTTCTCGCTCTGGTGATGCCTGTGGGCCTGTGTGGCCGTGTGCCGGGTCCACCTCAGATGCCACTGGTGAGGTCGGTGATGACACGGGCTTTGACCAGCTTGCGAAGAAACTCTTTCTCTCGCTGAATGTTGTGTGTCCAGGACTGGAAGGAGAGAGATGGAGAAGGGGTCAGGGGGGCCGTTGGCGGTGCCCGGGGCCGGGCCCGGTCCCTGGAGGCCCCTCACATCCCCACCCTCAGCAGCTGAGTGTGGCAAGCCGAGGGCAGATGTGTGTCACCGACTGGGCCAGCCAGAAGTGATGGTGCAGCATGCCAGGAGGCCCCTTCGAGGCCAGCCTCCTCCCCTCCCTGGAGCTGGAGGAAATGACCCTGCCGCCCCCTCGCCCCTTCCTCAGGCGCCAGGAGAGAGGAGCTCTCCCAACTGGTTCCACAGACCCCGGCTACCTCCCCTCCCCAGGAGGCGCCCAGTCCCGGGGCACCTGGGGGACAGGCATCTGAGTCACTGGGTCCGGCCCTGGCCTGGGGGCTGGGTGGCTTAGTCATGTCAGCCCTGATGTAATCCTCCCCTCAGCCCCCGGCAGCTGACGAAACCCTGAAACCGGCCTCCAGACCGGGGCCGGGGCCGCGAGGTTCGTCACGATGACTTCGGATTACAGGGCAACGCTCTGCCTGCCCGCCTCTCCTGCCCACCCACCGCTCTGGCTCCCTTTCTTCCTCCCCAGGGGGGAGACAGGGTCCCTCAGAGGCGGGAAGGCTGGGGATGCGGCTCAGGGGTCGAGCAGGTGCTATGCATGTATTGTAACGGGGGTCTCAACACTTGCTCCCCGCCTCCGCCCAAAGAATTGAAAAAGTGGGGCCGGAGAGATAGCACAGCGGGTAGGGCGTTTGCCTTGCACGCGGCCGACCCGGGTTCGATTCCCAGCATCCCATATGGTCCCCCGAGCACCACCAGGAGTGACTCCTGAGTGCAGAGCCAGGAGTAATCCCTGTGCACTGCCAGGTGTGACCCAAAAAGAAAAAAAAAAAGAATTGAAAAAGTGTCAACTGGACATGAAGGAATAAGCAGAGCATGCTAGGAGTCAACAGCCGTATTCCAGCTGTTTCATGGGCAACTACTGCCCACCCGGGCACCCCCCCCCCCCCCCGTCCTCTCTTGTTGGGTGGGGGCATCAACAGTCCCAACCTTTCCCAGCTGACAGGCACACAGAATTCCCTCCACTGCTCAGGCTCCTGGGGGACACGGCCTGCTGCGGGGGGTGGGGGTGGGGTGGGAGGATGGGGGGGTCCTCGTGAGGCTCCTCCTGCATCCCGCCCCCCTAGGGAGCGGCAGCCAATCGCAGGAGCCAGTTCCGCCGACGCCCCCCGGGAGGCACCTTGAGTTGAGAGGACTAGCTATCTGATGATATTAAGGAATTACTGTTACATTTTTTTTACGTGTGATAATGGTATTATGATAATAAATACACGCTCCTTATCTTGGGGAGAAAACCAAGTGAAACATTTCAGGCTGGAGAGATACCATCTCTGAGACCCGTTTCCAAGCCATGGGCGGGAAGGGGGAGCCTGAGCAGGACAGATGAAACAAGGGCTGGCGAGGGCCGGCCACCAGGGGCACGGGGAGTTCACGGTCACCCCCTCCACTTAGGCCTGCGCGGGCTCAGTTTGTGGGAAGGGGCCTAGCGGTGGAGCACTTGCACGGGTGAGGCCCTGGGCTCAATCCCAGGCACCACCGCAAAGCAAACAAACAGCTTAGTACACGCTGGGGTAGTGGGGCCCGGGGGAGGGGCTGCTCTCTTGGGGGCCTTTCCCTGCCCGGCCCCCACTCTCGCCTGGCTCCCCTCCTTCCCTGGCCAGTCTTGCTTCTCACTGAAACAGGCACAGCTGCTGACCCCAGAATCCCTCTCCGCGTCTCCAGCCAAGATCTCAGAGGGGGGCTGTGAAGCCCTTCTGCTTGGAGTTGAGTGTCCCCCTGGGCCCCCAGCACTGTCCCTCCCACACTGGAGGTGTGGCCACTGCCCTCTGGGCCCGCACTGCCTGGCACTGCTTTCACTGGCCGATGGCATTCCCAGCTGGGTCACTTCTCTGTGCTCACCTGTGGCACGGGACATGGGGACACCGCTGGTGATGCCCTCCCCCTGGGCTCTGTGGCCCCGCAGCCAGCCCAGAGGTGGGGCCAAGGGTTCCTGGGGGCGGTGAGGGTGCCAAATGGCTCTCTTACCCCTGCAGCACCCAAGGCGACAGCTGGGATTCTGAGCCCGGAGCCCAGCCTTTCCAGTGCTCTGATGACAGCGGCGGAAGGGTTCATGCTGGTCATCAGAGCAGACAGTGGCCACTGAGGACTCCGGGCCGGGCCCTCTCCACTCGGTGCCATGTCACCTCTCTGCACCCAGTGTGACCCCACACAGATAGGTTCTAAAGTGGTCCCACGCTTCCGCCCCTCACGGGGAGGGGCCCAGCAGATGGGCTTCTGAGCCTGAGCCTGCAGCTCTGCAGAATAAGGTCTAGAACAAATGGAGCAGGCAGTGGGCAGGAAGCAGCCCCGGGGGAGGCGAGTGGTGTCCCACTGGTTTCCACTCTTAGGCCTGAGAGACAGTGTGGACGGTAAGGCACTTGCCTTCCATGTGGTGGTGGCTACAACGGTGCACAGAATCCTAGGACGGCAGATCAATTGGCCGAAGCCCCGAGCACAGAGCCAGGCATGGTGCCTGAGCAATACTGGGTGTGCCCCCCTGCTCCCCTCCCCCCACAAAAGAAGCCTCTTTCCTGTCCTATTGGCCCTGAACAGTGTGGGGTCAGGCGTTCATCATTTTGGCAGTGATCAGAGGCTACTCCCAGCTTGGTGCTTGGGAGACCATGCAGAGCTGGGGATTGAACCCAGACCTCCCACATGCAAAAGCATGTGCTCAGACTGCTGAGGTATCTCTCTGGGCCTGAGTCTTCATCTCTGGCCAAGACTGCCCACACGGCCTCCCAACTAGTCTCTCTTCCTAGCCTGCGCCCCTGCAGGTCCATGTTGCAGCCACAGTGACTTACTGGGTATCAATCTGCAGCCCTAAGCTTGCTGTAGTTCCCATCAGTCTCTGAGTAAAACCCATACTCCTTCCCATGGACAGCCTTCCTGAATCTCTCTGTCTCTCTGAGGCCTTCCCGAGTCTCTCTCTGTCTCTGAGGCCTTCCTGAGTCTCTCTCTGCCTCTGAGGCCTTCCTGAGTCTTTCCAGTGGTCTGATGACAGCGGCGGAAGTATTTTAAAAACGTTAATGCTTATGAATTTAGAAACTGATTGTGTGTGTGTGTGTGTGTGTGTGTGTGTGTGTGTGTGTGTGCACTTCCACGTTGCCAGGGTCACACTGGGCCTCCTGCAGATGAGGCACGTGCTCGGTGGCACGACCAAGCCACATCCTGGGGCCCCTGATGCTTTTCTGGAGGGAAGGGAGGGCCATACCCGGAGATGCTCAGGGGTTATTCCCAGATCTGCGCTCAGGGGACCCTGTGTGGGGCCGGGGATGGAAACCAGGTCGTCTGCGAGCAAGGCAAGCGCCCTCCCTGCTGTCCTATCGCTCCGGCCCCAGCCCCTGATGCCTCTTGAACTTTAAGGGCACAGATGGGTCAGCTGGAAAAACCGACTTCAGTGCTTGCTTGGGAGGAGGGAGGGGCAGCCCTGGGGGCAGCCGGGGCCGAGAGGCAGAGTGAGCGGATTGCTGGAGGGGTGAGGACAGTGGTCGGGGACAAGGTGGCAGGGAGGACAGCTTGGAGCTGGCACCAGTCCTGGCATGTTGGCTGGGGAAGAGCAGGGAGGCAGGGTGTGGGCCAGGGAGGAGGAGCCGAGGCGAAGGGCCCTGGGTTCAGGGGCCCAGGCGGGGGTGCCCGGGGACCGAGGCCCGGAGGAGGGGTGGGCCCTGGTGACTCAGCGGAGACTGGGTCAGGGCCTCCTGGGGCGCTCGGGCACCCAGCCCAACCGTGGCTCATCCCTTCACATGCATTGGCGCAACTGCCCTCAGCGGCGGCCGCGGGGGCCATGCCCCCGCCCAGCCCTGGCCCACACCCGGCCCACCTCCTTGATGGCGGCCATGCGCACGGTCTCGTAGTAGTGCAGGGGCGCGTTGGGTGTGCTCATGTCGTAGCCAAAGCCTGCCACCGCCACCTCGTCACAGCCGTGCAGGGCCATGGTCACGGCCACGCTGCCCAGCGTCGGGATGTTCTGCGGGAGGGAGAGGCGGGCAGAGCTGGAGCGGCGCCGGGCAGGACCCGGGGGGGTCGGGGGGGTCGGACAGAGAGCCCCTGCTGAGCTCCGTCCCTGGGGGCCGCTCTGCAGTGCACCCTCCCTGCCGCCCCCGCCCCCTGCAGGGCCTGCTGTCTCCCCAAACCCCCCTCCCCCCTACCCTGTTATGCCCCAGAACCCTCAGCTCCTCCCCACCCTTATCCCCCACACACCTGTGACCCCCCGCCCCATACTCCCCCTCAGGACCCCTCTGCTCCCTCCTACCCTGTTATCACCCCAGGATCCCTCTGTCCGCCTATTTTCATACTCCCTCGGCCCCCCAGTGCCCCTCTGCCTCCCCACACCCCCAGGGCCCCTTGGCCCCCTTACCTCATCCTCCCCCTCTGCCCTATCCTCCCCCAGTGCCCCTCTGTCCCCCCCATCTGCCCCAGGGCCCCTCTGCCTCCCCCATCCTCCCCCAGGGCCCCTCTGTCCCCCCCATCCGCCCCAGGGCCCCTCTGCCTCCCCCATCCTCCCCCAGGGCCCCTCTGTCCCCCCCATCCGCCCCAGGGCCCCTCTGCCCCCCCATCCTCCCCCAGGGCCCCTCTGCCTCCCCCAGGGCCCCTCTGTCCCCCCCCATCCACCCCAGGGCCCTGCCCGTCCTCCCTGCTCTCACCCCACGGCCCATGAGCCCGTTGTTGAAGGGGAGTCCAATGAGGGTGAAGGCTGCCTCCTGGATGAAGTAGGGGTTGAGGATGCGGATCTCGGGGGGCTCCTTGGGCACCCGCGTGGCCACAGACTTCCAGAAGCCGTCCGACGCACTCTGTGGACACAGCGTGAGCGGGCATGAGCGGGGACAAATTGGGGGTGGACCAGGGAGCTGGCAGGGACCCAGAGTGTGCACCCCGGGGCGAGTGGTCTGATGAGGCTGGGTAAGAGGCGGGGGTGGGATGAGGAGCTTCTGGAAGGACCGCAGTGTGGGCAGGGAGATGCCACGGTGGGGCGGGATGCGGGGACCGCTCCGGCCTGAGGGGGGTCCTGCGCCCTCCCTGCGGGCAGCACTGACCAGCCCAGGGCCCGGCCTTGCCCATCTGCAATCTGGGGCTCGCCTGCCTGCCCTCTGCTCTGCCTTTTCCTGCTCTCTGTCAACTGCTCTAAAGTGAACCTGAAAAATAAAGACAGCGTGTGAGCTTGTCCCTAAGACCGCAGCCCTCGGCTGCGCGACACGGCGGGGTGAGGAGGGTGGGAGACCGAGCAGGTTCTCAATGAAGGGCCCAGCAGTCCCCGGGGCCAGCTCCTCCCAGGGGACTCCATGGAACCGCGGCGAAGGGCCGGGGCACAGGAGCTGCACGTGGGATCTCAGGGTCCGCCCTGCGTCCCACGCGCTGAGCACTGTCCGGATCAAGCCCCGAGCACCCAGACCCTAGCACCACTCAGTGGGGCCTCCAAAACAGATCAGACAAGAACAAATCAACAGGAAGAAATTTCCAGTCTGAAATTCAGCAGAAATATTCTAAGAACTCATCTCAAATACTCAGCAGGTGAGATCAGCGCCCCTCCCCGCGGGCCGAGAGCAGCATTCCTGGCACCGCGATCTCCCGTCTCCAGCAGGGAGGGACCCCCGCGCACCACTGGGCATGGGCCCCAAACATACCAGAAAGCCTCCAGAGTGTCAAAGTGAAGAATTAGGGTTTATTTTGAGAGTACAGTTATGAAAACAGTGACAGACGTGCATCAAGACAAAAACTGGGAACCGAATGACGGGACAGCGCGGAGGGCCTTTGCCTTTGCCTACGCAGTATCCCATATGGTCCCCCAAGCACCGCCAGGAGTAATTCCTGAGTGCTGAGACAGGAGCGACCCCTGAGCAAAGCTGGGTCCGATCCACAAACGTAACGAAACAAAACAAACTAACACCGCAAGGCAACCAGACAGGGACATCCCTGCGCACCTGCCTGTCCTTCAGTCCATCTGTCTGTCTGTCCACCTGTACCTATGTCATGAAGAGTCACCATTAATGGGAACAAGATGTTCTTCTCAGCAAAACTGCCTGTTAGAAAAAAGACCCACTTATTTCTTACCCTCAAGCCATATACCGAATAACGAAACGCTAAGAAAAAACAGAAAGCTCAAATGTGTATTTCATCAGTGAATTTCCTAAATACCAATGTAACATTACAGAAAAAGATCACTGTCACTGTCCCCTCCCGTTGTTCATCGATTTGCTCGAGCGGGCCCAGTAACGTCTCCATTGGGACACTTGTTACTGTGTTTGGCATATTGAATACGTCACAAGTAGCTTGCCAGGCTCTGCTGTGCGGGCGAGACACTCTCGGTAGCTTGCCAGGTTGTCCAAGAGGGGTGGAGGAATCGAACCTGGGTTGGCCGGGTCGGCCGGGTGCAAGGCAAATGCCCTACCCACTGTGCTATCGCTCTAGCCCACAGAGAAAGATAGGTTTTGCAAATACTTAGTACTTTGCTACCAAAGAACAGAATAGATAAAATTAACAGGACAACAAAATAAGGGAAGAATTCTGTCACAAAGAATAATTTTTATTTTTAATTCATGAAAAATCAACAAGATTCCATAAAAAGTGGAAAAAGAACATAAATGTTAATAGACAAGAATGAAAAAGAAATGAAAATTAAAATAAGATACTATTTTTATCCTTTCAGATATGAACACATATATGTGTATATAAATGTGTATATATGGGTCTGAAGCAATAGTACAGCAGGTAGGCACTTGCCTTGCACGTGGCTGACCCAGGTTTGATCCCCAGAACCCCATATAGCCCCCCAAGCCTGCTAGGAGTGAGCTCTGAGTGCAGAGCCAGGAGTAAGCCCTGCCGGGAATGGCTCCCCAAAATAAATTGTATATATATTAGCACTTGCGGGGTGCAAGAAGTCAGAAGTCTTCTACTCTGCTATAGGAATAAATTGTGAGAATTTTCAGAGTTTTGATTTAATCACTGGATCACACCCAATGATGCTCAGGGCATATATATGTTCATATCTGAGAGGATGAAAAATAATCTTATTTTCGTTTTTGTTTCTTCATCAATATTGCTCTTTTTAGTAATATTTTTAGGTTCCTTTTCCGTTTTTTATTCTTTGGGTCACACCCAGTGATCTTTAGGACTATTCCCAGATTGGTGCTGGGGGCTGAGGGAGGGTATACGGTGCCCGGGATCGAACCCGGGCCCCCTGCACACTGAGCAGGCACTCCTGCTCTTCAAGATCCGGCCAGGTGGCTTCTTTTCTCGAAAGCCGTCTGAAAATAGGCATCAGGAGCCGCAAAGCTGTTTACGTCTCAGGATACCAATATTTCTCTGGTAAAAGTGATCAGTATGAAGACCTTTGTGAAAAGCTGTTTATTATTACTGTGTTTCACATAAAAGTATAAACTCGGGGTGGAGGTGGAGGTGGGAGAAATCCCAAGTTGACAATAAGAAGACTGAATGAGACACGAATCGTCCAGCTGGATTTTTGAGCAGGATGTGGGTCACAGGATGTGGGTCCAAAGGGCAGGTACTGGAGGCCACCTTCTCCGTGTCCTGGCCCCCGGGAGCCCATGACAGACCCCGGCCTGTCCTCCGTCAGGCTTCCCATGCCAGGAGGGGGCGCAGGGCAGGGGAAACAGGACCTGGCCGGAGAGGAAGGGGGAGAAGTGGCCGAGTGGTGCCCAGCTGGGAAGCAGCCCTGGCAGGGGGGGTCTGCTGTGGAGCGGGAGGTGGCTGGGTGGCAGGGGCCCTCTCCGGGGGGCCCCCTCCTGGGCTGGCAGGCGCAGGCAGTCCCCACCCGGGGTTCGTGCCCACACCTGCCCCGAGCACGCCTGGGGAGCAGGATGCATGGGGCAGCTTGGGAAAGGGTGGGAAGCGCCAGGCATGGGCATGGCCGGGGGGCGCCGTGGGGGTGGGGCTGGGGGGGCACCGTGGGGGCGGGGCCAGGGGGCGGCAGGGCTCCAGGCTAGTTTTCACAGGAGTTGTTTTATTTATGCGGTCAGGGAATTTCTCAAGTTGCTCGAACTGCCTTCTTGACGCTGTTTCAACTTTCACCCAGCGCGCAGGGCAGGAGGGAGAGGAAGTAACACACTCTGCGTCACGTCACGTCACGCTGGCGGGCACCGGTTGCCCAGCACCCTGCACCTCACCCCGGCCCACCTCAGGGGTCAGGGGCCTGAAGCCAGGGGGTGACGGGACTCCCCGCAGCCCCAGACGCCTGCCCCCAGGAGGTCCCTCTGGTCAGTTAGGCAGAGGGAACCAGGGCTCAGAGAGGCGGAGGAAAAGAGGAGGCAGAGTGGGGAGAAGGGCCACAGCGCCAAAGCCTGGGCCGGGCCTCTCCCTGGGGTACGAATCCTGGGCACACAGGGCACCGGGCCTGTCCCTGGGGAAGTCCCGCGTGTCACTGCTAGGTGACACCAGGGAAGTGGGGTTTTCCCTGAAATTGGTAGGGAAAGGGGCTGAGAAGCCTCTGGTCTCTGTTTACTCCCTCCCCGGAAGAGAAATGCCTCCTCTGATGACACTGTGCTGCTGCACAACACACACACACACACACACACACACACACACACACACGCACATGCACACACGCACACATACACATACCCTCTGTGTGACTCCCTGCCCCTCCAAGGCAGTGTTGGGTAAGCTGAGGCCCAGCCCCTGGTGTGCCTGGCGACCGGCCACTGGGGCTCTGGGGCAAGGAGCCATGGGTAGGGTCCCGGGTCCCAGCATGGGAGCGGGTTGGCGCGTCTCCCTGCTCTCCCCAGAGGTGCCTGCCTGGGTGTGGAGGCTCCTCAGGAATTTCAGGGTAAGGAGAAACAATGAGATCAAGATCAGATCTTGGTACTGCGACTTTCAAGCCAAAACAACATCAAGTACCAGCAGAACCTCATTCTGTCTCCTAAAAGAAAATTTATGGCTTCTCGTTTCCATCAGGCACATGTGGGCACATCCACACAGTGTCTCGTGCACCCTGAGAGGAGGCCGAGACCCCACGTCAGGGGATGTGCGAACTTCAGAGCAAGAGCCGGGCACCACGGCCCCCGAGAGACGGTCCCGGAAGCACCAACGCTTTGCGGGAGACGGCGGGACAGGGAAAGGGATGGGAGGCGGGCGTGGTGGGAAACCACAAGCCAGCAGCCTGCGGAGAGCGAGGCCACATCCTGACCCCTCATCTGTGCCACCTGGAACCTGGTGGAATTTTCTGGAAGCCTCCCATCCCTCACAGCACCGGAGACACTCAAGGAGTTCCCAAGCTAGTGGGCAGGATGGGGCTGACGGAGCAGGAACATCTCAATACGGGAAGGATGATCATGACGTGAGCAAGAGCCCAAGAGGGAGGAAAACGTCATCTGTAATTACTGGAGAGAACACATGGAAGACAGAGCCCAAATCGTCCACATGCAGTATTCATACACCAGGGCAGGTCAGGGGCTGGACAAAGAGAACTGTGAACACACGGACCTCTCAGTAAAGGCTGGTGACAGGGGGACAGCTCCGCGCTCAGGGTTCATCTGATGGTAAGTAGCCCACACACACCAGGACAGGTGGGCAAGAGGCTGGAGCAATAGCACAGCAGGTGCGGAGCTTGCCTCGCACAAAGCTGACCTGGGTTTGATCTCTGGCATCCCCTGTGGTTCCTTGAGCCCCACCAGGCTCAGTGATCCCTGAGCGCAGAGCCAAGAGTAAGTCCTGAGTACGGTGGGAGTGGCCCAAACCCCCCAAAATTAGAAATTAAAAAATAAACTAAAAAAGAAGCCAGAGTGATAGTACAGGGGGTAGGGCACTTGCCTTGCACATGGTCAACTTGGGTTTGATA